GTGCGTGCGCTCGGGAACGACGTGCAGGAGGAGGGACCCCCGTCTGTCTGTCTGCTGGAATGCACGAGGGCCGAATGGCTACAGGGACAGGGGAAGGTGGGGGCCACACGGCCCTCGAGAACACCACCGCGACGGCCCTTACGGAATCATCGTCATCTTCCTCCTCCTCGGTACCGACAATCCTCACTGAAAACACCACCGCGGCCAATCTGCCTTTGACGGGACCTCAGCAGCCGGGCCTTCATCAGGTACAGCAGCAACAGGCGCAACAGCAGCAGCAGCACCAGCAATCACATTCACGACCACGGGTTAGCCTGGTCACCGATCTACCGCCAGCGAACGATGCTTCAGGTAACCTCAACAACTCATTTCTATGCTCTCCCGAGTTCTTTGTTGCCGTAGAGCGTACCGCTTGCCAAACCTCCCTTCTTTCTTCTGGCTTTGCCCTATCTCTGTTTCACTCTCACTCTCTTGCTAGCCTTTCTCTTTCTCGCTTTCGCTTTCGACTGTCTCTCCCTCTCTCTCTCCATCTCCGTGTCCCGCGATCTTTCGTCCTTTCTTCCTTTCCCTCTCCCGCCAACGTTCCACATTGTTCTCCTTCTCGCTTCTTCGTTCGCGCAACATCTCTTTTCCCGCTCGCTCTTGCCGCCTCTTTCGTTTTCCTCCTCGCACGTTTCCACTGTGCATCGATCTCGCTCGCTCCTTCGACTCGGTCCACTTCCGAAGTTACAGGTACCTACACGCGGTCTTATTCTTCCTCATTGCCGCAACGTGTGAGCACGATGTTTTCTTTTAAGCGATTCCATCACTTCGTAATCTCCATGACAGCCACGGCGAGCCGTACGTCTCCTCGACTTCGCGCGCGAGGAGCAACAATAACGGAGGACACATTGACACACCGTACTCTGTATCCTCACTTGTGTGTAATAAAATTTTCAGGAATGAGTTTCGTCCATCGATGATCGGTTAGCGGACTGTCACGGGGCTCACGAGTTTTGCGCCCCGTAACTTTTAGCGGCGAATGTACCTTAAAAACTAACCTCAAAACTGATGATGATAGGAAGCCCGATCTCGAGTGCAGGTCGAAGTAAACGTAACATTCGGGGAAGAATCATGAATTTTTTAGGCGATCTATAGACCTGCTCGAATAGAAGACTGTAGGAAGGATATTATTAATCGTAACATGCAATACGAAAGACAAACTCAATAACCTGTTTCCTTTCTGTCGAACAATAATCATGTTTACCAACTGTTCCAAAAATTACCTGAAAACATCAGAAGAGCTAAGAATCCTGCAGACGTGTGTTATGTCGAAAAAGAAAGCGTTCCCTTGCCGACGATGTAATTTAACCGGCTGCGAGGGGTGACGCTTCGAACGCGGCCATTCAAACGTTCGCGGTTTCGGCGGCCGCGCCGTGCAGTATGCGCAACAGGCGTTTCGGCGCAAATTCCGAGGCGGTGCGGCGAGAACGGGCTCGGGCGTCCCGCTGCCTCAGATTTAGAACGGATAGCCTTCGAGTGTTTCTTTATGAGCGTTGCACCGACCCTTCGTGGACAAAATAGCGATTCGATGAAACGAGCAACGGTTGCCTTTATTTACGTCGGCGACGCGTACGCCTCTTGCCCCTCCCCTCTTCCTCTCGCCCCGTTCGACCCTTCGTTCTGCTCTCCCTTCGCCACGCTCCAAATTATGCATACATCGACAATAAATCGCGAAACGAGTTTTTTTTTTAACCCTTTGCACTCGGAAATTTTTCACCAGAAATATTTCAACGTTTTCGTAACGATTTTAAAGACGATATTTTGTGTAACTAACTCGCAGAGAAATCATACGTACATCGAGGAACAAAGTTATTTTATTTCAATATTTCTCAAATTGATGCGTTATGTAAGGTATAATATTGAATATCAAATTTTATAATTTTACTATATGAAATGAGGTGGTGAGTGAGTCACCTCTCGAGTGTAAAGTTAACACGTTGAACGCCGTACGATTTCATACAGCGAAATACACAAAATGGGAAAAATATAATATTAAATCATTTGATAGAATTCCGTTATTATTATTATACATTTATCTAAGTGAATATCACCACATTAGGTAGCATTATTTATGATATAGAAATATTTTAAAATAGTCGACATTTAATTTAGTGAAGTACAGTAATTTGATTTGGTTGGGGGTCACCGGTGATCCCCATGGTATACAACGTGTTAACAATACACGGTTATTGCTTTTCCGCTGTTTCGTCAGTCGACGACTGTTTTTTCTTTCAATTTTTTTTTCGTCTCGTTTCTACATTTGCGCTGGGTTCGAAGGCATCGCCTCGTAAAAGTACTCCACGACTTGGTAACTCGGACACCCCCTCCCTCTTCGCCATTCCTCGTCCCGTTGGAACACGAATCCGTGTCAAAGTGCTCCGGCGGGCAAGAATATCTAATTACTCGGTAAACAAGTCGCTTCGCCTCCCGAGACCAGCTGCCCGCTTCGGAAAAGACTTCGCGCGTCTCCGGTGGTTGGTTCTCGTCGTTTACCACTAGGCCGCCATTCTGGTCCAGATCGAAGCAATTTCTT